CTCGATTATGCACGAATTGATTATTCTTATTGAGAAATCTTAGCCTGAGCACTCTAGCCGTAGTTGTTCTACAAATAAGGTCCAAAAACTGTGACTCACGAGGCTGAACGAGGGGAACGTGCGGCCGACGCTCTGAAGAGGGCCGTTCTTGAGGATACCGTGGGTCTACTGTTACACGCGATGCTCTCGTCGAATCCTTCTCGTGAAGAGAAGGTTGAGGATGCCCGGCAGGTGGAAGCACTATCGGCCGGATAGTGGAAAGTGGACGAGTGGGTGGTGCAGGTGGATTCGTAGGCGGCGGTGGTGGTGTAGACGGTGGCTCGTCATCGACCTGAACAAGAAAACTTTTCGGTCCAATCGGATTTGAATAATAGACTATGCAGCCGTATATACCATTTTCATCTTAGACTGGACATTTTTTAGACCAAATCGAACACTTTTCGAGCAGAATGGACACAGTGGCAAATTAACTAAGCACTTAGACACACTGCAGGCATCGCGTCGACAGTCACCCTCACTTTTGCATCTTTTTTTCCGGAAATTCCAATTTCTTTGGCTGCTATGGGTAGCCTCGCCCAGTATGGTGAGGAGAGACTAACGAGACATTCGCCTACTACTTGAGCCTCTAGTTCTCTGATTTGAGGGATCTACGAAAGTGGGCGGGCTTCTATGAAGTGGGAGGGACTACCTTTAATGGGCGTGGCCTCCCTCAGAGAAGCTGAAACTCTGAGAAGACCAAAATTTCGCAAAATACGCAAAAGTGCATGGCTGAAGGGGCAGATCATAGTGTTTCACGCATAAGTGCGCATATGCGTGAAAAATCATAGGAAAACCGTGAAAATCGCGCTGATGAGTGAGCGGCGCGAAGGCGGGGCTTGCAATAGTGTCTAGAGTGATTTGGGTAATTATCGGGGCAAAATGAGTGTCTAATTTGACTTGAAAAGTGTCCAACTTTATCTGAAAAGTGTTAAATTCGATATGAAAAGCGTCGATCCAGGATGAAAATGTTAGAAGACGTCCGCAAATCGCGTCAGTGGAACGCCCAACCTCTACAGAGCCAATATACATGTCACTATCACTTAGGTCATCGGCAGGCTCTTCGTAGTCATCCTCAGCCTGCGCATCTATCGCCATCACTTCATCGAAGTCCACCTTCGGCCGTGATATTGTGGTCTCAGTTGGCCTAAAGTAGTCCAATAAGATTCAGACAAAATAACGTACGTATTTTGAACCCTATACAAAATCCACGTACGTTGCTGTATCTCACCGGATAATCTCCATGAGTTCAGGTCGTGGTCGGGTTGCCGGGGCGGGCGTGGTGGTTGTTGTCGTCGTAGTTTCGACTGCAGGTGGAAAAGTGACCTCAACGGGACGACGATCATCATTTCTATTGTGAGCAAGACTGTCATTTGGAGAAGGCCGTCGTTCGGAACGGGGAGTCTGTGGAGGGGATGTGGGCCGTTCTTGATGTCCTGGAGGCCCTGTCCTGGAGGCCCTGGAGGAGGCCGTCTTTCATGTAGGCGAGAAGTATGCGGAGAGGATGTGGGTCGCTCTTGAAGCCCTGGAGGCCCTGGAGGAGGCCTTCGCTCCTGCGCGCGAGGAGACTGTGAAGGGGGTGTAGGCTGCTCTTGAGGTATTGAAGGACGATAACCAGACCAGTTCGTGTGCTCTCGTGGGTCCTCCCGACCAGGGCTTCTCGTTGCGGCATGAGAGGCATATGTAGGGGGAGGTCCACGTTCCGGAACTTGAGGAGCTTTGGGATAAGTAGGTTGCTCTCGACGCCTTGAATCCGGCTGGCTACGTCCATCCGTTTGATGATGTGGTTGTTCTCGAGATCGTACCGGCTCTCGATTAGTGTCCCTTGGCGGGATGACTACCGTAGGCAGCGGACCACCGCTCCATTCAACAGTGTACCTATTATCAGTTCTTCGACCTCCAGAAGGAGGTATGGTATGAGTAACTGTAGGATCTATTCTCCTTGGAGGAACTTTCTTCTTCATGAGTTCTTTCAGTCGCCGCCGCAGGTCCAATGGAAGCGCAGTTGTTGGAGGGGAAGGTGGAGAAGTCAGCAGTACTGGGTACTCCTGAGGAGCAGAAAATACACGTGAAATGTCAATTAGTCCAGGAATCTGCTGAAAAGAAAAGTCGTTCAAAATCATCAATGATAAAGGAGAGGGTCTGGAAATCAGACTTCGATACCTGCAGGAAATCCAGCCTAGGAGGTTGGCTCCCAGTGTAGAAAATAACTTGTCGATTCACCGTTACTGAGCCGTTAGGATGCCGTACTTGAATGGGACCCGTGTCATATCTGTAAAGAAACATTACACATTTCGCAAATTCAAGCACCACAATATTGGGGTACACTTAGATCTCTGCAGTACATCAGTCTGCCTTGAAAACTTACTATAATTGCTGATTTGGATATAAGATCAGTGCTATCCCATTCAGGTCAAGGATGCACAAATGTGCCTTCAAGTACAGCAAAACTGGTAGTGGTGAAAATCCCGCGTGATGGCGCACCACTAAAGTAGAGCTCTTATGACGGCAGGATTAGGCGCCGGTCAGAATTCGCGATGACGCGTTGCACGCACGCGCGACGATTTGCATGGTCACACACTTTACTACCTTCTATTCCACCATACTCTCTCAAAGCAGTAGCGACTGGCGTCAATGGTATTCGTCTATGGTCCGCCTTTCCATTTAGCACTTGGAGTGTGGTTGCAAATGCGGCGCATCGGCGCGTGGTGCGTCAACTCGCGTCGGCGCGCGGTAACGCTCGTCGACGCGAGTTGATGCGCCGCGTTTGCAACCGCACTCCAATGCTATAAATGTTTAAATATTGAAGTTTAAATCCAGGCAATCACGACTCCAACAATAATACTTCATAGACAGCTCGACACAATCGATAGTAAAGATCAAATAATCAACTTTCGTCTCGGATGCCGACTTGTCTAAACCATGACTTTCAACAGTTAGTTTGCACCATGTACTTTTTTCCGAGTTTCAGACCAAAACAGTTCAGTGGCGCGACCTTCATTTCCCATTCTCACTGTTGTAGTACATTTATACCTCGTCAACATGCCACCCACTCAGAAAGCATAGCGGATAAAAATAAGATCTGGCCGTACCGTGGCGAAATCATGCTGCATTTTGGGAGCAGCCGATTGCCACGCTATTTTGCCATTGGTAGAGAATGCAAACATGTTTGACATTTGGGTGGACTAACCTTTCTACTTTTTTGTCAGGGTGACCACTTTCACCTCTTGTGGGCTCTATAACAGCTTTAGTTATTTATTCACCACGCCAAGCTTGCGCTGATTTTTCCGCAGTCTACTGGTATTAATCAAAGTAACCGTTGAATGTATACAGTATGTGACTGTGGTTTTTGATGAACATGATCTGTCTTGCCCTAGGGGACTGATTCGGGAGGATGACTTCTTCGAGCAGCACTTTGCTGTATTTTAATTATGGGAGCATTGTCCAGACATATTTTCCTGTTGAAGTGGCTCATTACCCACAGTTCATTGGCAATTATGAATACTCGTCATATACATCAGCTGCTATCTGGGGAGACAAATTTGAACATTTCTCTTCGATATCAAGTGCCTTGAGTTGGCGTATTGAGCGTGGTTCGCTGTCCTCTCATTCGAATGAAATTTTCTTCGGAAACACCTGATATGATCCAACGACAAGCTAACGCATCGTGCCCTCCGCTTAATTCACAGCTGTTTTTGGAAAGGTACGTTTATCAGATCATACTGGACATATGACAAGAGTACCAGATTTGTTGAATACATGATGACATAACGGTTGGACTGTTGGCGCTCATTGTGAGAGGAATACTGTCAACCACATCAATCTACTGCGTGTGCAGTACATACCACTAAAGAGGAGGTGGCCATGCGTAGCGTTCATCGTTGAAATGTGGCAGTACAATACTGTAGTTTCGGAAGGAGTAATCATGTCGGTGTGAAGCACAAAGCAGGATGCCAGTTGTCTCGAAAAATATCCCACAACAACGCATTCCACGTCATATTCGAATGATGTACGCAGCACGTCCCGTGTTCGAAGAATAGAGTTTATGTAACCGTGAAAAGAAGTACCAGGGTGACATGTTCGAAAGTTTGGCAGACTATTAGTTTTTTTGCCGTTTTTTTCAAATTTCGTTGGCATCCGCTTCGTTTGCAAATGTTTACTTGGCTTCGAATCAGAGCCATAATTACTGGATGATTTCGAATTGAATGTTCACGATAATAAATGGTTTGAATGTGTCGTGAAAAACGATTCGACTATGTAGTGGACCTTTCCACGCAACACTCTCGTTGGGATGCATTATTGGAATGTATTGAGAGGTTACGCGGTATTGAGATGGGTAGAGCCTACAAGAACAACCAATATTTTTTCTGGTTGGATCTGCTTGTTGGCACCTTTTTCTATGAAAATCTCAACAACTTCTACTCAATTGTTTCAAATAAAAGTTTCGCATAGTCATGTGAAAAGTTGCAACGCGAAGAGGATATTTCTTCAGTGCGCAATAGTGGCGGACGTCGAAGTCGAAGATTTTATTCACAAATCCGTTAGTTACTTTTAACCTCCAAATGTATTTGGAATAAAAGGCAGTTTCATAGCACACTAAATTTGCTTGGAGCTATGTTTGGTACTTTCAAAAAATCTACCGATAAGTTCGTTTTCCGTAGGCACGCTGAACTGATCTTGGCCGCTCATAACCTCCAGAACGACGAGGTGCATCTGCAGTGCCGTACTGATACCCAGCATGTGACGCTGAACTGTGAGAAGTGTGTGAGCTATGTGCTGCTGAGCTTCGAAACTCCGCATATTGCCCTGATGGCGCTTCACTTTGATGCCATTGCTGCTGCAAACGTTAAACATTGTTGGGAAAGATAAACCAATGGGCAGGTGGTATATTAATGAATTACAAAAAAATAATGAAAAATTATTGGAAAAATTAAAAAAATTGATAGAGAATAAATATATATTTGCGCGAATAAACATGGACTGAAGGTCAAACAAGTAGTCTACTATCCTGGAGATTTGCAGAGGTAGGGAAGTGAGAGGGGGTGGGCCATGGGACTCCATTTCCCTATCGCAGAAAAACGCTCCCTAGTGGAAATCAAATGCACAACCGATGGGATTAGTCAGCCGACGAGATCATCGGATAATGATGTTTTTCGATATGGTTGCCGCAAACGATCTCATCCATTCTTCGTCTGATCTAGTGTCGGTGCTATGGTGCCCTTGGCGAAGCGACGGTGGTTGGCGTTGTCGTTGAGCGGCTGGCTGAAGTCGTCCGTAGACTGAGGACTGCCTCCAATACCTCACTAGATCTATTCACACGTCGGAAGCCCGCCTAAATAGGATTTTTCAAAATGCTCATGGCGATGCTGAGCGGTGGATGGCGATTATTGATCGGAGGTTGACATCGCCCCTATCACTTCTTCATGCTCCCTGTTAGAGATGCCGGGGAGTGGATGGTGATTATCAATCGGACATTGAACCCACCACCTCAACAATTTCTTATTACCAGAAGTCTTGTACGGTCTTCTGTTAGTAGGGCAGAGAGAGAGAGCGATAGGTAGGGCCAGTGAGAGGAACGATTGCATGACACCCTTACCACTCAATTTTGCTAGTTTTGCAACCGCGTTTGCTGCAAGCAGGCCCCATTTCACTAAGGGCGAGGGACTTCTCAGGTGACAGTGAAAAAAGCCTTCGAGGTACTGCACTCAGAAACTGGCTGAAATTCACTCCAGTCTTTCGATCGAAGGAACGACGCCATCGTCTGGCGAAAGCGGACATTGGCTTCTAATGGGGAAAAGCACCATGAAGAAGAAGATAAGTCAGGGCAGAGATGAACATCAGCTGCAAAGAAAGACTGGAAAGGCTGTGGCGGCACTGGAACACTGAAGGAACA